AGAAAAAAATAAAAAACCACAACAAAACTGATGTTTCACACCCCTCCAGAGGCAGACCGCTGTCATCTGAAAACCTGAACGAAGCTTGAGCCACAGAGACCGGAGCCCACAGCGAAGTGGAGGAAGGCCGGGGAGGGAGAAGCAAGATGAGCGGGCGTCTTTGTCAGGAGAGAGGAGAGGCGTTGTGTGTTGGGTGCTGCTGGGGGTCACCAAGGAGAAGATGTGTCCCCTGGATCTGGAAACGTGGAAAGTGCTGGTGAGACAAACAAGAACGGCTTCAGAGGAATGGTGGGGACAGGTGTCCAAGGGTGGCAGGCTGGAGCATGGACCAGGGAGCGGCGGGGAGAGGGCCTCACTGCCTTCATTTTATCTGTACAGTTAAAACAATCGAACTTCTGTAACAAGCACAGGAGCCCCTTGAGAAGACAGAACACCACCTCCGTCGCTTTCCTGTTGACAATGCACAGCTTGCTGCCAATCGGGAGAAGACATGAGACGTTTCACAGAACAACCCACCTGCACCCTTCACAAGCATCAAGGCCATGAGTAACAGCAACGACAGAGGAACTGTTACAGGAGACTGGTGAAGTGGTTACATACACAGCTGCTCACCGCAAGGTCGGCGGTTCAAACCCACCAGCCGCTCTGTGGGAGAAAGCTGTGGCAGTCTCCTTCCATAAAGACTGATGGCCCTGGAAACCCTAGGAGTTCTGCTCTGTGCTACAGGGTCACTACAGGTCAACTATGACTCAACGGCCATGAGTTTTATGCAATGTGGGATCCTGCACAAGAGAAGGTATGTGTGGAAATGTGTCAAATTCAGAGGCCTGTCATTTCACTGTTCCCAAGGCTAAGTTTCAGGTTTTGAGCCCTGAGGTTCCTTCCACAGCAGCACTGGGGAAACCGGGCAAGAGGCACCCAGGACACTGTACCACACCTGCAACCTTTCTGTTAAGTCTGAAATTAAAACTTAAAAATAAATAAATGCCTATAAAGCAGAATGAAATCAAGCAATAGGGAAGATAAGTTATTGATTCTAGTCTCCATGCAAGCAGGCCTCCACTGTCACCAACATGCCCTTTCTGCATCACTGGCTGGACCACACCCCCCAGCGGCCCGCTCCTGCCTCTGGCCGGGTTCCTCCACCCTCTGTAGACCAGTAGCCTCCAGGTGCATCCCGGACAGTCCCCTGAGCTGTGACGAGAGCTGTGAGCACCGTGTCCCCTCTTCTCTCAGCCCCTGCATGTCACAATCCTCTGCACTTTCTCATATTTTGGAATGTCTTTTTTAAAAAAGAGATCAGGGATGGGTACACACACTCGACACTCTCAAGAAACTCTGATCGGTGAGGAATGAGCACAGTTGGGGCACCATGAGAGACCACAGAGGGAAGGGAGTCGGACTGGAGCAGAGGGAAGGCATGTTGTACGTAAGACTGCAGGCCGAGCAGACGTGCGGGTGGGACACAGCTGAGGATGGAGCCGTCCAGCCAGAAGGAAGAGCTACCAACGAGGGACAAGACTGTGGTGGCTTCTTGGCCACAGCCAGCTACTCAGAGTGTGGGCTTGGGACCATGGTCACAGGGGACATCAAGCTCAACTGGCATAACCTTCTACACAGAAACATTGCTCTACAGTACCCCTGGGGTCCTAAACCCTTGCAAGAGCCCATCTAGATGCAACGATGGGTCTCTCCTTGTCCACAGCAAAAAAGAATGAAGGAAACTAAAGATGCACAGAAACGATTAGTCCAAGGGACTGGAAGACCATGCAATCCTCAGCCTGTATGACCATGAGACCAGAAGATCTAAATGGTGCCCAGCCACCACTGTCAACCACTTGGAAAGGGATCAGTGCAGGAGATCCTGGATGGAATGGGAGAACCATGTGCAACAAAACTCAAAATCAAAAAAAAAAAAAAGACCACGTTTGCTGGTCTGATAGAGCCTGGTGGCAGCCCTGAGACTGTAGTCCCTAGTTATCCTTCAGGTCTGGAACTGAACTCACTCCTGGCCTTCTAGCCAAACGACAGACAGGCACAGGGAGCAAACATTTACATCAGGCAGATACACTCCTTGGAGCAGTCAATCGTGGGAGAACAGAAGGGCAGTGTTTGCACAGGGAGACAGCTCGGGGGGCGGGACTGCAGAGGAGGGAAGGACACAGGGAAGAGGTAACTGTGGGGGGTGGGGAGGAGTGGGAAGAGAGCTGTTACACTGTAGGGAATTATAGTCAATGTCATGAAAAAAAATGTGTAGGAACTGCTGTATGGAAAATGAACGTGCTCTGTAAACTTTCACCCAAATCACAATAAAAATTCAAAAAAAAAAAAAGAAAAAGAAGGAACAACTACTACAAAGACCTTGCAGCAGGAAGCATGGCTGGCAGGTGGGGAGGCCAGGAAGCTCCACATGGGTCCCAGCAGGCAGCCACCCCGGCGGGGTAAAGCCCACTTAGCGTGGCCACAGGCAGAATGAGCCACTGAAGGAGGGTTTAAGCCACAGGGCGATGCTCGCAGGTCAGTGAGGGCAAGAGACGACTCTGGTGGTGACGATGGGCAGGGTTTGCAGGAGACAAGAGCAGGACGGGAGCAGATGGGAGATGTGGCAGCCCGGACTAGGGAGGCGGGTGGCACCGATGGAGCGAAGCAGACAGACCAAGGGAAAAAGCCCGCGTAACTCTGGTTAGGACATGGGGGGTAGGGGGATCCTTGCAGCTTTCTGGTGCCACTCACTGCGAAAGTGACCGCGATGCAGACCAGACCGCGATTCTGCTGTGGGGGAAGGGAAGAGAACCTGTGCTCGGTCTCAGCCTTGGCCAGGCTGAGGGGCCCCGAGATACCCACGGAGAGATTCTGCTGGCATTCAGCATTCATCCCAAGGGAGGAGCTGGGCTGCAGACCAGGAGTCGTGGATCTCTGACCTGGAGGTGAGATCCGGGACTTGACCAGGGAGACGGGAGTTCTAGCATAGGCTGAGGAGGATGAGCCTAGAAAGGAGACCAGAGAGAAGGGGAAGAGGCCCAGAGGCTGCCACCTCTATGTCCCCGTCAGCAGCCCAGCAGGAAGCAGGCACTTCAAAAGGCAGGGCAGCCTGGCCAGTGCTGCTGAGAAGTCGAATCGCAAGAACCCGAAACAGACTTCGGTGCCAGCATTCCAACATTCTCAACTATCGGGGGTGCAGAGGGCCCAGAACACTGCAAAGAGGGGAGAACCCTTTGTGGTCACTGTCACCCTGAGAGCACAGGCTGGAGTGGTCTCCAGAGCAGGATGCCTGCCACGTAATCCCACGACGTGGGGGAAAAGAGTACAAGGGTGAAAATATCCCCTCCTCGGTACGCTCTTTTAATGATCACCATGTCGTTAAGTTTTTTTTAGCATGACCTAAGAAACAACATAGGAGCTCTGGTAGCATAGTGCCTAAGGCACTTGACTGCTAACCAGGAGGCTGGCGGTTCAAACCCACCAGCCACTCCTCGGAAGGAAGATGGGGCAATATACTTCCGTAGTGATACTGCCTCGGAAACCCAAGGAGGGGTCGCGGCACTTGACTGCTAACCAGAAGGCTGGCGGTTCAAACCCACCAGTCAATCCTCGGAAGGAAGGCTGGGCAATCTACTTCCGTAGTGATACCACCTTGGAAACCCAAAAGGAGGTCACTGTGAGTCAGATCTGGCTCGACGGCAGTGAGTTTGGTTTTGGTTTTAAGAAACAGCACATTAATTTTAAAGTCATCTGTCACGAAAACATGTTGTTGTTAGGTGTCTTCAAGTTGGCTCCGACTCACCGTGACCCCACGTGTAACAGAATGAAACACTGCCCAGTCCTGCGCCATTCTCAGTGTCAAAACAACGTCTGAGCCCACTGTTGCAGCCACGGGTCAACTCACACCTTGAGGGTCTTCCTGTTTCTACCAAGAATGACCTTTACTTCACCAAGCATGATGTCCTTCTCCAGGGACTGTCCCTCCTGATAACACACCCAAAGTATGTGAGATGGAGTCTCCCCATCCTTGCTGCTAAGGGGCTCCCTGGCCACAGTTCTTCTCAGACAGATTTGTTTGTTCTTCTGGCAGTCCATGGTACACTCGATATTCTTTGTCAACACCATCATTCAAAGGTACCAGTTCTTCTCCAGCCTTCCTTTCTCGCTGTCCAGCTTTTACACGCATATGAAGCGACTGAAAATACCATGGCTTGGGTCAGGCACACTTTAGTTCTCAGAGTGGTATCTTTGATCCTTAATTCTTTAAAGAGGTCTTTTGCAGCAGATTTGTTGCACTTATTTTAATAATTAGTATATATCAGTAAAAGCAGTGTTTGTATATGTATGTAAATTGTGTGTCCACACACGTACCGACATACACACCCACATATACTACAAGAGTGTGCTCAAAAGGTGGTCACTTCCTGGAGATCACTGCTCCAGGGGCCCCAATTCTGGGCCCCACAGAGGGGCTCTCAGACCCAAGCCCTTCCCAAGAGGTACATTTCAGAGCCTGGGCTTGTTTTAGCTACAGCCTCAGTCAGGAAGAAGCCCTTCCGGCAGGGCCATCACAGCCAGGAGAGACACTGCTGCCTCCTCAGTGGGAGCGAGTGGCTATTCACACAGCTGGATAGCACCCCATGTCCTCATGGGCCACGGGAATGAGGCACAGTCAGCAGCACCAGCCCTCAGGATACCACCCACCAACATCACATACGTGCCCATCTCTCAGCCCCCAACTGGGGTCTGGACTGCCATGAAGTCACTAAACATCCACCGTCTCTATTCCCCAACTGGGGTCTGGACTGCCATGAAGTTACTAACATCCACCGTCACCACTCTCAGGAGAAGTCAGGATGACCCCTGGCTCTCTCTCCCCCTTGCTGAGGTCCCTCCCAATCTACCAAGAACCCTTCCCCTAAGACAGCAGAGGGCTTTCCAAGGCAGGTACGAGATACAGCCACAGGGACAGCCAAGCTCCGCTGGCAGACAGAGGCAGAACGGACACTGTTACTTACCTGGAATTCATCTTCCTTCTGAGCGTGTTCGGATCCCTCTTTGTCACAGGACCTCTAGGAATGAGAACAAGCAGACACTCCGGTGAGATGGGCCCTACGCAGGTAATGGCTTTGCAAGCATCCCGGGACTTCAATGGAGGACAAGCTGGTCAGCCCACTGGCATGAGCAGCAGGAGTCTGAAACATACCACTGGTCTCCAGCACTGGGACTAATGCCCTAGAGACGGCTCACTGCCTTAGGAAAAGGGATGTGCCACTGAGGGTAGCCTCTAGTTTCCAAAGTCATCCCCATATGCCCTTTCACAATTTCATTGTCAGGGGAAAGCCAATTGAGTACACTCTTGCAATTAGGCTTTTGAAAGAGAGATGGGCAAGCTGGCTGGGCCGGCAATTTAGGTACATGGTTCTCTTAAGTCAACACCATCCCAGGAGGCTGGCTGTCTAGCTGTCTACAAGAGCAGGGCGTGCAAACACACCTGTGGAGAGCCGTGGTCAGCCCAGGACTCGGCTGGGCAGGAAGGACACCTTGCTCAGGGTCTGTGTAGACACTCCCTGGACCAAACCAGCCACTTGCATAGACCACAGCTCTTCTAGCTCAGCCAGTTCTTAGCTCAATCGGAAATTTCCCCTTGCCAATAAGGGGATCGTGTCAATTTAACGACAATCCCTAAATGTATTTTACAAATTGATCCACTAAGGAATACTTTGGCCTCACTTTCCTCAATGGAATTGTACATTGTTGGTGCCCAGGACTCCAGCAGGGACAACATACTGAATCATTAAAGGACTGTAAGTGACTCCTGGGTACATTCCTGGTGGCACAGGTGGTGCTTTAAACACTCTCCCCACTCCCACAGGCTTTAAAAACCTTCACGCTACCATTAAAGATAAGGAGGTGGGGCGGGGGGAGTCAAGTTAGAAACGTATCAGGTCAAGACGGCATACGCCATGCTGCCTCTACGATCAGGTGCCATGACAATTGCACTGTCTGCTTAAGCCAGACCCAGCGGGAAGCCCATAGAGGACGTGTCCTAAAAAACTGTATGGTAATAAATTCTTGAACATCCCATTAAAAAAAAAAACATACCTTTCCATTCCACAGCTTTATCAAAAGTACCTGTGCCTAGAGGAGACAGTGTGGACAGGGAAAAAATGCCACGTTAAGCAACACCAGCTACTCTAGCGCCATTCCAACATCCTAGCGTCCTAGAGCACCCACTCCATCCAGCACACACTGAAGGGACACGCCAGACGTACGTGTGGCTGGTGTGAACGCATGTTCTACCTTGCTCAATATGAAAGCAAACAAGTTAAGCATCCATGTTCATGAAGCTGTCTGCAAAAGGCTATCCAGGCTTGCATTTATATACACGCAGTTAACTTCAATATCCAGTCACGTACATTTTGTACAAAGTACAGACAATACAAATGGGGACAGATTTTCAGTTGTGTAATCTGTTTCTATGATGGAAAATGTTACAGGTCAAATCCTGTTACAATGAAAGCTACAAAAATCAAAATATTACAAAGACACATTTAGCCTCTGCTGATGGCTTAAGGGAGGCTGTGATGTGCCCCTCGGGAGGCGTGACCAGGTGTCGTGAGAGCTTTCCTGCGGTAACTCCAAACCAGTGTCATGATTACGCTGTTACCTGAGACCTGTACTCTGGCTGTTGGCTGGCTGGCTGGCTGTCTCTAGGTTCCTAACAAACAGGGGAGCCATCTTTTACTTATGGCTGGTCTTCCCCAAAGCACCAAGCAAACCCTGACAGTTAGCACCCGTTTGGACTGATGGAGAAATGAACTTCCTCGTTTGGAAGCAGAGGGCCACCAGGCCCAAGGGGCAGCACAGGGTGGGACAGCCGACCTGTTTGGGGCCTTGCTGTCCATGATCCCAGGCCTAGGAAAACTAGCAGGGTGTTCGTTAGAACACAGCACTGGGACCACAGTGCCCCGTATGCCAAAGCATCATGTCCTCATGCTTCCCCTAGAAAGTGAAAAACATCGCTCTCCCATTTGCTGTATATTAATATATTCCTACACTGTAGGGAAAGGAAACAAGGAACGTGGGTAGTCGACCCCAGTGAGTTGTAACGGGATTTGACCTGTATAACGGTATCTTCTTAGGGAGATACAGTTAGCGAGTTCCTTAGCCAACAGAAGTCCTTCTCCCCACCTAACAGTGCTCTCGAAAGCAAGTCATTTCAGCCAAAGTCACAGCTGCTGGGGCCCGAGGCCGTCCCTTAACGCACTAGACCTGCACTGAAGCCAGTGCCGCCCACCCAACGAACGCGCACTCGTTTGGTCAGAGCACCGTCCTCAAGGAAGCTGGACTCCTGTGACAGCCACCCTCTGTTCTGTTTCCTCAGCACAGAATGCGCAGGTCCCTGACGCCTGGCAAGGAGACGAGCGGGAGCAGGAAGCGCCGGAGCAGACGGACATCCTCAAGGACGGACATCCTCAAGGAGCGGGCCGGCAGGAGGCAGACTCACTGCCCAAAGGGAGGTCAGGGAACGTTTCTGTCCGGCACGACAGGAACTAAAGTGCATTTTGGAATCTGTGGAATTTTCCTGCAGAGCCACGTTTATTTGAAGCAGACACTCTGACTTATGGTACAAATGTACAGTGTGACTTCAAATTTCTCTCCAACTAACTTTGCCAGATAATGAAAATCACCTTTCGTAAGTTCTAATATCAAACTAGAAAGTTCTTGACATTCATTGGAACCCTGAACACTAGATGTTTAGTATTATTAATTTTTTGACATGAACATGAATTATCATAGACATGTCTGAAAAATCACCTCACACACAAGCTGAACTATTTATGGCAGAAATCATACAATCTCTGGGATTTGCTTCAAATAATGCTCATCTTTCTCCTGTGGAGTGGCTGGTGGTTTGAACTGCTGACCTTCTGGTTGGCAGCCACATGCCTTAACCATTGTGCCACAGAGTGCCTTACAATCCTTGGAATTTGCTTCAAAATCACCCCAGGGTAGAGTGGCTGAGGGAAAGACTTGATAGAAGTCTGGCCTTGAGGCGAAAGTGAAGGCCTCTGGGGTCATTTCTCTTTTGCCCAGTTATGTCCATGCCTCAAATTCCAATAATAAAAAAAGTGTGAAAAGAGGCATTAAAATTTCAAGACCCAAGCAATCAGAATGCATTAAACAAGGACCAGAAGCTGCCCGACTCACAGATACCAGAAATCACGGATCGGGCGCTCCAGGTGGGTCAATGACACGCTGTAGAGCTCTTAGCCCAAAGCCGCCAGCACCGACTGCAAAGGTCCTGCTTTGGCACCTCCCTCCTCCTCTCCTCGTCTCCTTCCCTCCTATTTCTGGCTTGCTTTTCAAGAGATTCCATCAGTAAGAGTCAGATGTCCTTCAGCCTGAGATGCAGGGAATGAAATAGATGTGGCAGTTAACACTGTGTGTCACCTTGGCTGGGCCTGCTTGAGTGGCTGGGCAGCTGGAGGTAGTTATTCCCCATGATGAGACTGGCAATCAACTCCATGGTGGGATCTACCACAAGCAGCTGAGGGATGTGGTCTGCTTCCCATACGTAAGCAGCAGCTTTGGGAACGGTGTCAAGCTTATGGCACGCTGGAACCCTACATGTAGCTGTGTCGTTGTTCAGCAGCCTGCCATACTCTGCCGATCTTAGGACTTTTAATGGACTTGAATCAATGACCTACTGTGTGGTTTGGTAACACTGGGACTCTGTCTTTGTACCTGTCGACCTTGGGCTTGTCAGTCTCAGCAGCCAGCAGCTGTCTGAATGAAGAGAAGCCCCCAGCTTCAGTGGGCTGGGAGCTGGAGGCAGAGCTGAAGTCCAAGGCTGGGGGCTTTCACCCAGCCCCTAGAGCCTGGCACTTTGAACTTGGACTTAAAGCCTCCAAGACGGTAAGAGAATAAACTCCTGTTTGTTCAAGCATCCCATTTGTGGTATTTTCTGTTAGAGCAGCACAGAGGTAACCAGAACAGTGAGTGATAGCAGCACGTCAGGGTACATCGTCTAACTTTTATTTCTAAAGTTAGAGATTTTTGAAGTTGGTTGATATCTGACTGGCCAAGAACTTTTAAGTTAAAAACCTAAGCTTCTAAGAATCAAACTTCTATCAGCTAGGAAGGAAGATGGGGTGGGGGCGCCTGTGCTTTTTACTCCACCAACTTGTACTTCACAGACCTGCACACTTGCCAGCAGGCTTCCGAGTACACGGCCCTTTTCAGAGTAAGTACATGCAGTACAAGCTTTCAAATGTTACTCTTCTGGAGTGACGGGAGCCTGAAGCTGTGAAGACGCCGACAAGCCACCTTCTTCATCTGACTGCTCTCAACTCCCAGGAGAGCGAAGATTTTCAACATGGAACATGCTCGTGGCCTGCTGGTCGCTGTTAAGGACGGGGCTATGTTCTATGTGTTGAGGTGAACTGGGCAGGAAAAAGCGTGACAGTCACGACCCCACGGAAGTCACAGGTCATTAACGTGTGGCGGTGTGACTCTTCCTCCTCTTCCCTGACTGCTGTGAGAAGAATGGAGACACCACACGTGCACTACGTTTGTGATGTCTCAAGTGTTCTCTGATGTCACAGAACATCAGAATACTAGACTGCAATGTGATGACTGGAAGCCTAGTTTATGTGAACGGCAAGTGTTTAAACAGACACGTGATTGCCAACATTTGAGCACGGCTATCTCTAGACTACCAGTCATCCCCAGACCAATGTAAAATAATTGGGCCCTTCTGAACTTAAAAAATGGGCTGCTCTGCTGGATGTCAGTAAACTGGCACAGAAGCCGGTTAAGGACATGAGCACAGGGAGGTGAGTGGGGCCCGGGCTACAAGCCCCAGGTCAGGACTTCTCGGAACGAAGGTCACACCCCAGGCAAGCGGCTAAGGCAGGAGGCCCGAGACATCCAGGGCTGACCTGTCTGGGGCAGAGGAGCCCCAAGGGCTGACCTGCAAGCAACACTGTCACTTCTCCAGCCCGGCTACGTGACTATCAGATCGTCACGGGTGAACTTCTGAAAGGCATCTGGCACCCAGTGGAGG